TGTGCGCTTCCCTGACCCACAGGCCTTTCTTCCTGAGCGATGGCTCTTAGAGGACGGGTCGGGGATCCGCATGGATCTGAAGCGCAGCCTCGTGGCTTTCGGGGCGGGAACACGTTACTGCCTTGGAACATCTCTTGCGTATGCGGAGTTGTACTTGATGGCGGCGGCTTTGGCGACGAGAGTTGATATGGAGTTGTTTGAGACAACAGTCGATGATGTGAAGATTATGCTAGATTGGACGATCCCCCAGCCGAAACCTGACACTCAGGGTGTCAGGGTCCAGGTTCGGGCGGTGCACATGCAGTAACTGAATGTTTAGGGCAGAGGCTTAGCAAGAAGACTGTTGCCGAAGACGGGTAATGGCCAAATTGAAGTACTGTATGGTAAGACACGAGCCGCGGACAACAGCCGAGAATAATGATACCGTACAATACCATGCACGCTAGCATTAGTACAGAACGTTTTGGCCCCAGCATTAATTAACGAACACGAAAACAAGCATTTGATCAACACATCGTGGCATTGCTTCGTATTACCTTCTCAAAATGGACTACGCAGGTGTCAATTTCCCGATAACAGGCTTACTGAATATACCTTCAGACACAAGGCATTCCGTACCCGATATTGGGAACCGCCGAATATGTTTCGTAGTAGTATTTAAATTGGATGAATATCAGGCGATATGAGTAGTTCGATAGGCATTGACAATACCGAGTTTTGCTTTTCTTTTTCCTCCATCAAAAACAATCTGATTATGCTGTCGGGTGCGAATATTCCTAGATTTCCTTTTACAGGCTCAATGACACCGAAAGACTAACCCCCAATGGTAAAAAGGGATCTTTGCAGCCATGGGCAAGCCATGGATCCTGCCCAGTATCCTCAAATCCATTACAGGCACACCTCCCCCTTGCACAGAAGGCAATCGGGAAGAGTCAACAAGCCCTCTCGTCCGCCCTATTAATTACGCCTTCGACCCCGTTCCCTCCGATCACGACATCCCCACCTCATCCGACTTCTTCCCTCAACTCCGCGAATGCCTCCAACAACCCCCACACGATGAATGCGTCTACATCCAGCCCACAGACCTCCACGTCCCATGGCCAACTTTCTTCCCTGCAGCTGTACAATGCAAGCACTGGCAGGAAGTCGAGCATTCCGCCCGCGAACTGTTGAACGAGATTGTCTCCGAGATACAGAAAGAGGCCCAGAGCCGCTCACAAAGTCAAGATAAGAGTGGTGGTCGTCTATTAAGTACACAGCTTGGAGCATCGCCAGATGCTCTTCCACAGAAGAAGTTGCATGAGGTGCTTGAGACGGCGGTGACGGGGACTATCTATATGTTTCCGGCGGCGAATGTGGCGCGTGCGAGGATCATGGCCAAGGCCATTTTGTTGATTTTTTTGCACGATGGTATGTTTACCCTTCTACCTTACCAGATTGGAGTAGTCCGAGGTGAAACAGAGAAGGATTTAGAGGAGCTAACTTGTGAATCAGATGTGGTGGAGGCACATGACGGGTCTGATGCTGTATGTTTCTTGTCGCTTCCTTCTGCGTTTCAATATTCTCGTGCAAGGATTGCTTTTCTGGTGCTTACTTTACTAACTTGGTGATACCATACAGGGAGAAACCTTTCTGGATCTACTTCTACAATCGGACCGGTTACCGCAAACACCCCCACCGGAAGAAGATGCTGAGCCAGGTCTCCCCTGGAGACAACGTATTCTGCGCGAATTCGTAAACGAAGTCTTGACCGAAGATCCCATCTCAGGACTGGAACTCCTCCAGGGCTTGAAGATCTGGTCTCAACATACCCGCTCGCATATCCTGAAAGACCAAGACCAAATGACAAACTACACAAATCTCCAAGACTATGTAGAATACCGCATGGACGATCTCGCCGCTGAGTAGGAACGCCCCGGCCCTTTGTTATTTGTAAGCATCTCTAACAAAGTCGTGAAAACAGCTTCGACCACGCGGCCATACATTTCACTACAAACGTCCACCCTACCGCGACCGAAATCGCCGGCCTCTCGACCATCCGCCGTCTATACCTCATTCACGCCTCCTTAACCAACGACCTATACAGCTATGCCAAGGAACTCCATGACCTACACACCCGCGGCTGCACCATGATAAACAGCGTCCGTGTGCTGCAAAATAACATGATGATCGGGGATGACACGGCGAAGGGAATCCTGCGCCGCATTCTGCTTGATGTAGAACGTCAGTTGCATGCTGAGCAGCAGCGCCTGAGGATGGATGCGGCGACTACAGAAACGCAGAATATCATTGCTCAGGCAGTGATGCAGAGCTTGGCTGGGAATTTGTTCTATTCTGCTACTACGTATCGGTATGCGAGGGTTGTGGAGGGGGCGAAGTTGGAGTAGATCGTTTGTGGGATGGGAAAGGTTTAGGGGAAAGTGGCGACAGGAATGGTAGCATGGGATTAGTGTATATATGAGAAGATGAGAGGGGAGTGTACATACTTGACCTGAGCATGATGGATTTAGAGTCTCTTGGGTTATTTTGGGTTTGGTTTCGGGGCGTCCTTCCTGGATTTTCCTTTAGATGGATATTGTTCTTCGGATTGAATATCTTGCTATATCAATAGATGACGTTTGTGCGAGAACGGTTGCTAAGATATTTTGAGATAGGGGGCGGTCAAATGCTCATGAGCACATATGATTCCTATATTGGAACGGAATATGACACTTCATCAGCTACCACCCAGAGTCAACTGACCTCACAGATCAAGCAGGTTCGGTCCTAAAAAATCTAGTTGACCTTTCTGGTGAAGCAGGAAAAGGCTGTGAGCAGTATAGATGTGTGGAGGCTAGCTCATATTTGATATCCCTTCATAGGGTTCATTTCAGCTGTAGCTTGACGTGTTGCGCGATGGTGAAAACCCGCGTCTGCTCCTGAACCATGGATAGCATACGGAGAATCCACAAGTAAATTGCAATGGACTAACTTGTGTATGCGCGTGTATGAAAGCAGATAGTGCCTCATTATCGGCTCATGAAATATACAAAACTGAATAACCAATGTGCAGTATGGTAAAGTCGATCGAAGACCACTATTCATTGCAACTCCCACGTAGATTTAAATAGATAAAAGTACTTTTATTTTTAGATTCACTCTTATTATCTCACAGGCATTGATAGTTCGAAAACTTACTACCTGACAAACGAAATCATCTCTGGAACCTGGAATCCACACCCTAAGATCCCAAATTTTTCTGACTCATCGGAAACCATATCCCGACAAGGCTATACTCGTGTTTCCCCTTTCCGAATGACGTATCTCTTGCAGTAAACTTCTCGCCCGAGAGATTGATAAGATGTCTCGGTAATGATCTCCGCCACTGGCAAATATGATTGGTGGAATAAGTTTTAGCGACGCCGACTCACGTTCTTACAAGTCTAGAACTATACCGATATACTACAAACTCAATTCCCAAACGAAAGAATATATAGCCGACGGGCGCACTCACATTCCTTTCATAGTAATATACCACAGTTTATCAATTGGTAAAGAATGACCAGTAGCGGATCAAATATGTGTACCATCACGCAACCCCCAGCCCTATCATCCATCCTCTCCGCGCAAGACTTCGAAAAAGCAGCCTCTCAATCTCTCACACCAAAAACATGGGCTTTCTACTCCTCCGCTGCGACAGATAAAATCACACATGAGTCAAACAGGACTATGTACGATCGCATTCTTCTCAGACCGCGAATCCTCCGCAATGTCACCTCTGTATCAATGAAGACCAATATTCTGGGCTGTCGCATGGATTTGCCACTGTTCATGAGTCCCGCGGCAATGGCGACGTTGGTTCACCCGGATGGTGAGCTTGCATTGGCGAGAGGATGTGCGAGGTATGGGGTTGGGATGTGTGTATGTTACCATCCCTTATTACTGTCGTGTCTAGCGGGTATGAAGTTAACAGAGATGACAATGAATGAAGGTCTCCACAAACGCAGCCTACCACCTCTCGGAAATAACATCCGCCGCAGCCAAGCAAACAAAGAATAACAACACCCCATTCTTCTTCCAACTCTACGTAAACAAAGACAGAGAGGCATCGAAGCGCCTTCTCCGCACCGCAGAGCTGAATGGAGCGAAAGCGATCTTCGTAACTGTGGATGCGCCCGTCGCTGGGAAGCGGGAAGCGGATGAGCGGGTCCCGCTGGATCCTCACGATATCCGATTTAGAACGCCGTTACCCATGAGTGGGGCGTGTATTGGTGGAAATGATGAGAAGGGAGGCGGGTTGGGGAGATCGATGGGACAGTATATTGATGCTGGTTTCACGTGGGAAAACTTGGCGTGGTTGAAGGAGAATACGTTTCTGCCTGTTGTGTTGAAGGGGGTGCAGACGGTGGAGGATGCGTTGTTGGCGGTGGAGTATGGGGTGGATGGGATTGTGGTCAGTAACCATGGGGGAAGGAGCTTGGATACGTGAGTCTCCTGTTTTCGTTGTTAGTGGAGGGTGTGTGGTGAGTCGTGCTGATTGTGATTTTGGTAGGTCTATTTCATCGATTGCTGTGTTGATGGAGATTCGGCAGAGTTGTCCGCAGGTGTTTGATCGGTTGGAGGTATTTGTCGACGGGGGTATTCGGCGGGGAACAGATATAATCAAGGCTATTTGTTTGGGTGCGAAGGCCGTTGGTATGGCAAGGCATTTCCTATACAGCTTGTGTTACGGACAGGAGGGGGTGGAGAGGTTGATTGAGAGTATGTTTTCCGTACCTGATAGTGATAAGGTGGGAATGCTGACGGTCACAGTTATGAGAGATGAATTAGAGACGACCATGAAATTGTTGGGGATTACGGATCTATCACAGGCTCATCTGGGCCTGTTGAACACATTAGATGTGGATTATTTGATTCCAAAGCAATCTGCGTCGTTGAATGGCGAGCCAGCCAGGGCACGCTTGTAACCGCAGGGTCTTCAATTCGAGCTACAAAGAAAGAGCTGGTAGTTAATGATGCATCTAGATTATTTCCTGTCTTTCAAACCAGTATGGCAGTAGGTGATTGAAGCCAATGCCGAATGTTCCATCAGGATAACTAGCAATAGACGCATCGATGTCTGTCAACGGGTACTGTAGCAGTTGGCCCCATCCGTGTACTGGTACCTCGCTAGTGCTAGCCCAATGCAAGTCAGAAAGCATCTGCAACATGTTCATCAAACTCGTGCCCACGATATTACACGTATGCTCCTCGTTGAGATCGGCACCTTTTGTAAGCAGACACCGGGCTACGCGTAGTCCAATGTGGACAATGCGCCCAGAATCAATAGGCAGCTTGAGTTGAAAAATGTCACCTGTAGCGCTGCCCGCCAGGCCCATATTTAATCCGACAATTCTTAGAAGAAAGGAAGCACAGAATCCCACCATCTGATGAATATTAATGGGAACATAGCGGAGATTCAACGAGAGATCACTGTCAGTCCCTATGACGGACAGTACTCTTATAGCCGCGTCAATTGCAGCACGCGCAGTACGGCAATGCTCAAATGTCCACGCTTCGAAATTCGTCGGACTATTATCATAAGAAAAGATCCCACGAAAGGCCAGAGAGTAGAGCTGAAACTGAGCAAAGGCGTGAAACACGTTTTTAAAATCCTGGGGGAAAGAAGAGTGAGGGTGGTCGGTATGGAATGTTCCAGTCGGATACTTCTGCAGGCATCGCTTAACTGCGTCTTCTAACGCGCGTATTGTCACCATATCATCCTTTTTCAGTGGATATCTGCAATCTGTGTAGAAGGTCGCATGGGCATTTGCCAGAGTATCGAAGTATAGAGCGAGGGCGATTAGCCTTTGGTCTTCGTCACTGGCAAAATCTGGACTGGGAATCCGCGTCATATCCCAGATCGGCTTGTATTCAACGTCCTATGGAGGACAACCACGCCCAGTGGTGAAGTATTGGCCGCATATATAGGCGAGACACCACAGCCGAACCTGTTCCATATCAGCTACCTCGCCCCGCATGTACCGATAGAAGGCTTCATCTAGGCTGAGCTCGCTTGCAATGCGAATGGCCTCGCTAGAAAGCTGCTCCCCCATATACTTGAAGTAGAATGCACCAATGCACAAGGCGCGAACATCGTCCAAGCTATTATGGTGAGGATCCATCAACCTCCGCATGAGGGAGAGAGATACAAAGACTTCGTGGCATTTCTCGTATATTTCTGCTCGATCCGCGCAAGTAGTGCAGCGACAGAAAGGATGGCTGCCGTTAGCATCGCCGATGACCTGCGGGTAGAGTCCAGAGTCTTATGTTGCATGAGAAGCCCATCCCATAGAAGCGGATTAACACATGTAGTAAACATGTTGAACAGATCTTCTGCCTCTTCTAGGGAGACAACACCATCTGAGATGAGATCACTTTCCGTTGGGGCTGTACTACCTCCGGATCCTGATTCGATGCGGAGATTTCTCAGACGGATAACTGCATCAGACAGGGACACTGCGCCAGGTGTATTCCTCAAGAAAGTGGCGATTTCTTCTCGCAGGTCAGCGACCTCATCGATAAGTTTGTCTTTGGATCTACATTTGTCAGTGAGAATTGTGGGATATACGTGGCTGTGGCATACTCTTTCTCATCCTTAAGGCGTTGCACCATTGCAAAATACGCATCGCACTCATTGAGCCCATGACGCGAGCATCTAGTACAGGCGGTCTCTCCTTCTTTAACCCTGCAAGTCTTTCCACGGATCGCACAGCTTCCACCTGAAGGAATTAGCTATTGTATGGAAGGTGGAGATAACTTACATGCGGTGCGTGCGCCGGGAGGGCCAGCGACCTCTGGTTGCGTTGTCTCCATTGCTACGGCAAGTGTCAGTGCCACAACACTTGATGGTTAAGTTATTTACCGATATATGATATTCTCAGATCAGAAGGTAAAAGGTTGTTTATGAGGAAGACCAAGGAATCAGGATTAAATGGCTTTATATAGCCATGGTCATGACTCGATAAGATAGAAATAATAGTTCTTCTTGACTGGAGATTCCGATGAGACTGGTGTTGCTTCCGAAAGTGCAAACTAAGATGCAATGTAGAATTTCCAATGTGAATAGATATGGCAGAGATTGTAAATGCATATCTAACATTCTGTTATACGATAGTGGCCTATATACTCGGCGGATACCGCACATGGGTGCTGTTGTAAGCTGATATATTCTTACTGTCCGAGATAACAAATGTTTCCACTGACTTCTAGCATCTACAGAGTATCTCATGTGTGGAATAGACCCGAAATTGCCGAAACCGATCGGAAAAGACGGCATGGTAGGTATCATATCTCACATCTCGGTATCTGCAGTTATCCCTCCGCCCCATATATGGGATGTGCCTGCTTTTGCTATTTTATGTACTTCAACACCAATGAATCACGCATGGCAGGATAAGCAATAATTTCAACAATAAACAATGTCGACGAACGTAGGGAGAACAGTGGAAGTTTCCACAGACCATACTGAAACGCACGAGGATACTTTCTCTCCAACCTATCTGATTAGAAAGAGTGTTTTCAGCTGTGAGAATTGTGGAAATTACAATGCTTTGCAACTGCAGAGTCCAAAGAACAATCAGACACAAACTAAGATATCATCCCTTAGTCACCCAATCCCTTTGCAACCATCCAATATGACAGTCAATACATAGCTCAAACCAACACTCCCATCATCACAACCCCCAAACCCCATCCCCATCCCCATCCTCCAACCTCAACCCTTCCTCCACCACTCGAACTCCCACTCCCACTCCCTCCACCCCCACCCCCAGCCGTCTGCGTCGCAGCAGCCAACTTCTCCGCCCCAGCCGTAACAGTAACAGGCATATACCAAATCTCACCTGACCCATACGACGTGCCGGAAGTAACCACAGACGAGGAGTTCTGCCCCCCACTCACAGTCCCATAGTACCCGATAGTGACAGAGCACGACGCGGCCTGCGTCGAGGAGGTGATATTGCACGCGTTACTCTGGGAGGTTGTCACTGTAAGGCCGTTCGCGGAGCCGATGAAGGAGCCGTGCTCGACGTACGTGGAGGGCGCTGCGGTGATGGTGTAGATGGATGGGATGGGGCATGCGCCGTTGCAGGTTACGGCGAGGATGGTGGTGGAGGATGAGGCGGAGATAATGCTCGCGTCGAAGGTGGCGAGGGTCGTTGAGGGAGTTGGGGTTGTGGTTTGAGAGGTTAGTGAGGTGGGAAGGATGTTGAAGATTTGGATTGTGGTGGAGGAGGTGGATGAGATTGCGGATGAGAGGGTGGTGGTCGTGGTGGAGGTTTGGCCTAGGGTATAGCCTACTAGTGGGAGGACTATGTGGAGGAACTTCATTCTGAGGATTGTGGAAATGTTGTGGAGAAAAAAAAGGGAGGTGGGTAGATGAGTTTTGCGATAAGCTATTAGGATAGTCTTTGATATTTAAGTACATTATTTGTGGGATATTTGGAGCTGGATCATAAGATCTTTAGCAAATAGAGTACAGACTAGTCCACGTCATGTCAATGAGCTTATCTCACTCTTGGCCCATTAAAGCTTCATTGGCAAGAATGTTGGAGCCTACGACACGAGCTGCAGAAGTAGTTGGTGGTGCGGCATTTCAATCTGTCCTGTGTTGCAGATGAGGTCATCCCCATCGTCATCTGATCGCCTTCGACCTCATCTAATCTTCTAAAACATCTTAATGACATTACCCAAGAGCAATCTTAAAGAATATATCTAAACCCAGCATTCCGAGCTTCCAAATTATCAACCTCAGCTCCTCCCCTATCTTGTTCGGCCGCATCCAGCGCCTTATTCATCCTCAGATGCACAGCACGAATGACAAAAGCAATAATGGCAACAAGCAGGGCTATCCCTGCCGTAGCACTGCCACCGGCGATATATCTTGGCCCTGATGACGACGGCCACATATAGCTTCCATAAATGGACGCTGTGTTGCCAATCATATTTGCCGTTGCGATTGCAGCCGAGCGTTTTACCAGCGGGCGGGGGAAGGAGTTGGCCACCCAGGCAATGATAATTTGATAAGCGGATACGGCGCCCATGGGCATTCTACATTATCAGCATTATTAGAAGCTAAAGATGATACAAGAGGAAATGGGGATTCTTACAAGAACATGCCAAAAAATCTCGCGCCAATGTTCGTCGTAGCAGTGCAGATGATGCATCCCACCACACTAACGAGCATCAACAGGATAATATGTATTCCGCGATCGTTTGTCTTTCCCGATGTCCATGTCACGAAAAGAGATACCAAGAAGGTAGCGATCCAAACAGGGGCAGTTATTAGCAAAGTCTCGATATTTCCATAGCCGAGGGTCTCAACGATGGTGGGGAAGAAGTATTGGAAGTTCTGCGATAGGAGCGACGTATGCTGGAGTAGGATGAAAAGATAGATTCGCTTATCTGAGAACACTAGATAAAGCGCTTCTTTGACGTTGCTCGATGTAGCTTCGTCTGCCTCTCCAGCATCGTGGATGAGTCGCCATTGCGCGTACAGCTTCTCCGTTTCGTCGAGCCATGGGGTTGTGGCGGGGTAGTTGGGCAGCAGTAGTCTATCAAGCCCAAGGTCAGTATGTTAGATTTTTAGTAGTGGGCAACTCACGTTGATGTCAGTGACACTCCCACAGTAATGCACCCTTCGATAATAAAGAGCCATCGCCATCCTGCTATCCCATGCGCACCATCCAAGTTTCCCAGCACTCCAGCTCCAATCAGGCCACCAAACGCATTCGCTAGAGAGCTTCCGGCATAAAACCACGCAATGCGATGACTCAGCTATATCGGTCAGTTCAACATGTTATAGGTCAGACAGGCCTAATGCCTACCTCTTGTCTAGTATACCAACTCGACCTGTACACATTAGCACTGCACAAATGGGCTTATTGTTTCACAACCTACATCAGCATGATTGCACCCGGAAAGAATGGCGCCTCCACAAAGCCAAGGAAGAAACGAGCAAGGACCAATCCTGTGAATGATTGTGTTGCAGCCTGACAGGCCGAGATGACACCCCAGATAGCCATTGATGTTCCCAGGAATAATGACGGTCGCACGCGCGTAAGAAGGAGGTTCGACGGCAGCTGCATGAGGAGATACCCGACGAAGAGGATACTCGTGGCTAGATTATAGTCTGTTCCTTTCATTCCGAGGTCTTGTTCGAGAGAGCCTAGTCGGGCCTGTGAAAGATTACTGAGACACGGTTAGTATGTATACGTTTATTATGTCAAAAGCTGAGAAGACACGTACTTTCTGTCGAGGAAGTTGAGCAAATACATCACCACAAGAAAGGGAAGAAGATGAATGTCCACTTTTCGAAGGAGCTGCTTGGTCATCTTCCGATGCCATTCGGGGCTCTTGGCGACGTATGTCTGATAGATGGCATCTTGGGTTGATTCTTGGATCTTGCCCGCATGCTCGTGATACTCAGTAAATGCCTCTGTCGGCTTAGACATTGTCGAGCTTCTTGTGCAGTGCAATGGAGGGAGATCCAGAGGTACTATCCTTCAAGCGAAGAAAAGAACGGCGCTTAAATATCGGAGGATGTCCGTCACCCCGCATTTGCGGGGGCGGGGAGGGCTCGGGGTAGCTTACCCCGGATCTGCATGGACCACCCTATACAGAGTTCAGGGCATGGCTCTGGACCATAACGGCAAGATATCGTGTTGATACTCCTTGCAGGAGTCGAGTTGAGCTTCAGGGAAGAGTACGGGCGGGCTCATAATCACCAATTTTGGTGGTCAACCACAAGTCGTTAGGTGAAACATCGAATTGAAATCAAATGATACTTTGCTATATACCAGACCCCTATCAAGCAATCGATGGTCATGAGCGAAAGGCTTCTTCTTGAACACCACAGGCAAATTCAAGTGAGAGCATTAATAAACCCTAGCCTTGAGCTTGCACATAAGTGGAGGTTTCGCCCACAGGTTGTATGACTTCTGATTATGCCACTCCCGACTCTCCTCACACAATTCGATGTCAAAGTTCCATAGTACTCTGGCAAAAATCACACGCATTTCTGCATAAGCCAAGTTCCGACCTATACAATTGCGGGGACCAATTGAGAATGGCTGCAAAATTTCCCGATTATCATGATAGAACGGCGACGACGGATCATTCTTCGATTCAGGCAACCAACGTTCGGGAATAAATTCTTCGGGTTTATAGAAATTAAGAGATGACCAGTATGCAGCAGACTGATGAACAGATACTCTGGTCTGAAAGGTATTAGCATTGTTTATTTCACTTTTCTGAGTGGGACTTGCCTCTTTGGGGAGGAGATATCCCGAAATTTCAGTAGGCTGGTCTGGTATGTATCGCTGCAAATGGCCCGCAACAGGTGGGTACATGCGAAACGCCTCATCGATACATGCCAACATGTACGGAAGCTTAGCTGTAGCATTGTTGACGGTGATATCTTCCTCAGTCTTCATGACAGATCGCACTTCGAACTTGACTTTCTCCATTTCCTTAGGGTGTTGTAGCAACCAGTACGTCAGCCCCGACAGAAGTGTTGCTGTGGTCTCACTGCCAGCAATGACAAGGATGCTTGCATTGGCTGCGAGTTCCTCATCAGTCAGCCCGTCCTTGTCGCCGCGGTGACGAAGCATGGACTGCATGAAGTCCGCTTGGCCACGGTCTGTCTGATCGTGCAACCGTGTCTGTACTGTATTCCAGCTATATTCATCCTGTCTTCTTTTCGCCTCCAGGAGGTGTTTTGGTAGGAAGCGCTTCAGGGCGTTGAACACCATCGGATAATCATCTTTGAACCTAGCGAATGCTATGGCCTTAATGAACTCAAAGATAGTCGATACCCAGTAGTGGTACTCTTTTGAGTCCAGTCCTCCGAATGACTGTCCAAACGCGAGGTCTCCAATCAGGTCGAATGTTGTAAGGTTGTACCACTTCGCCATATCCACGGCTACTTCTGACTCAGCCATGCTGTGCAGCTTATTGATAAGCTTGTCGACGTACTCCATGATGAACGGTTCTTGGGCTTGAAGGCCCTTAGCGGAGAAAGCATGGGATATCGCCTTGCGAAATCGAGTATGATCGGAGTCATTTGCACTGATAATGTCCTTAGGATTGCTCGCTGACCCTGATACCTTGGGCAACTGCCGATGTCCGTGGCCGTAAATGTCTTTCCATGCCTGAGTGGTGATGAAGGAAACCTCATTCGGGGTGAAGCGGACGACCCCACCGTACCTCTTGTGGAGTGCTCGCATGTCCCTATCTAGTACTCCTCTCATGTTTGAGATGTAGCGCAAGATGGGAAAAGCCAGCCATAGCTTTGGTCCGGGGATCCGACGGAGCGGATGTAAGTAGATGTTCCAGATGGCAGCACAAATGGTGTACGCGAGGTACGATATCCCAACAAGAGCCAGAACGGTAGGCATGATGTCTCAAATGAAGGCTTTGATTTGGTTGTCATGCATGCTGGGGGGCCGGGGTGAGGGGCGATTATAAGTCTTCGGGTCGGTTGCACCTGAGCTGCAATCGCGAACATACTGGCGTCACGACGCCGTATCAAGCAGGAGGTGCGGGCAACAACATGAAGATAGAAGCGGGGTAAGTGTCGGACATACGTTGCCACTAAACCTAGGCGATGGGGCGGACGATGCTAGTTGATAGTGCCGCGATGATGCGGCATATGCGCCTGGCTCCTCCTGTTAGCACCAGCATTCATGATTCCTTCTGTTGTTTCAAACTCGTCCACTTGCTAGTCCTCTGGTTGACTTAAGTACTCCTTGTTCTCTTCACTTTCCGTTAAACCCAAAACCAAAATTGAGAAGGCTGTGAAGAGGCTGTTGAGAATCAAACGGCAGACTTGCAGCTGATGGCATCGATTGGACGCTGAGCTGCAGATAGAGTGGAGAGGCGATCTGCACGCTGTGTTACGGTCCGTCCGCGTCCCGCGTGCCAGCCCAATAGGAAACACCAGTTAATAATGTGAGAGGGGCAATGATAATTCCAGACGAGGGCGATATGCAACTCGGTGGCCGGATGCCTCGAGGCCCGCAACGGATACCGGAAGTTCGACTCTCGGGCTACCTAGCAGAGCCCTAGAAATTTCAATCGAACGGGGCAGCCTAAATGCACACGTATACACGAAACAAGAATAAACCCCTTAGGAGCTAACAGAATGATCGCCCTGATAAATTTAGGAGGAGCAATAAGCTCTGTAATAGACAAATCGGTACTGGGTCATTTCTGAATGGCTGATTCGAGAGACACGACTCCTTATTAGGGTGGAGACAGCTGTCAAGCTCGGACCCAGACACGCGCCTTCACCCGCTTCCTGGCACACCACATGTCCCTGAGCAGATGAGCAACAAGCAAGCACAAGATAACATGCCATGCACGTTTTAGCCATTGAGCTCAGCATGATAGAGAAGTAACTGGTATCAGTGGGTCTATTGCT